GTAGAGTATTTGAATACCTTATTTATTCTAAGTTGTATTGTTTAAATTTTTATTCACATCTTCTATCAATAACAATATAGTCACTATTGAGATTTTGATTGGATTAAACTTTAAGAATTGAAAAATGGATGTAAGGTTTGTCATTGTAATAACAAACATAGGTCTGACCATAAATGTACATAAGCTTGTAAACCTATTGTTGGAAGTTCATAAAGTGACAGGTAAGTCTTTGAGGCATGGAAAAGATCTAATAAATTATATCCACCTATTATTAATAGGTCAATTCTTGTATACCGATTAAGTGGACTTTCTTATACAGTACTTGCAAAGGTAGAGATGTGTCAATTGTTAAAGATGATAAATAGTGATGAAGTTCGATCTAAGTGGATTGATGTGATTCTATAAAGAATGGATTTCAATAATTTTTTTTTATAAAAAAAGCAAGCAATCTAATTACACAAGCGAAAAACACATCATTCTTATTATAAGTAACATAATCACATCCTAAAAATAAGGATCTATTAAGTAAAATAAAATGTACTTTTTATTTTGAGATTTTTATTTTCAGACACTGTCACACTAACGATTGATTTCTCGATCAAACAAGTTTACCACTTATTTTTCAAGAAAGCTTTCAACTTGAACATTGAGTGAAAAAAGTGTGAAATACTAGACTATAAGATGGCAACCGATTTGGTCTCTCTTTTTTTTAAAAAAATTAATGGTTATTTTTCTTTTAAGAAATCGATCAAGAATGGGAGAGAGGAAAAGAGATATGGCGAATTTAGGAGGAAAAAGAGAGAAGTGACAGCTAAAACTTTTTTCAAGAAAAGATATGAACATTTTTTTTTCTTTCAATCTATTCTCTTTTTATTAAAACTCTTACCTTAAAGGTTTAATCAAAATCAAAAACCTTTGAATCAACCTTGACCATCCATTTAGAGTTATGGGAGTATCAAACATGCTCCACAATTATCAAAATTAAAATTAAAAATAAATAATTTAATTCTTTAATTGTTATTTAGAGTTCTGGATAAAATCAAACTCCTTATTGCATAATAATTTTTATTTAATTATTATCCATCTTTATTTACAAAGAATTAATAATAAACAAAAGAATAATAGTCAAACATGGAGTTTCCTTTTATCAACATGGATGTCTAGATGCAATTTACAAGAATCTTCTTAGCATTATCTTAATTTAAGAGAACTCTTATCTTTAACTAAGAAAAAACATGTTATCTTGTCTAAATTGAGATAAATATATTTTCTTATCTCAGTTAAGACAAAACATATTTTTCTTGTCTTAAATTTAGACAAATATATTAAAGCTATTTTTTTGTACACAATTTAATGAATCAAATAAAATATACATTCCAACTTAAACAAGTTGAATTCTACAAACCTAAGTAGGCAATCTATTTGGACATAGATATTCCAAGCTCTAATACACTTAGTATTATTCTTAATCTCATTAAGATAATTCAAACTTATTAACCATGAAATCACTCCACCATAGATTTATAGTTGTGCTCTTGGATTAACTATAATTACAAGAAATGATTCAATACTTGATATTAAATATTAGTTGTCGAATTACAAACCTTATATGGTAAACCATCATAACCATCCAATGAAAAAAGGTAAAATTACCATTTTACCTTTTATGTGAATTTTGCCCATTTTTTTTCAAATTCTATCCAATTAGTGATTCAATACTCTAGATATAATCTTTTGAATGTCCAAATGTGATGAGTAGCTAATTCATCAATCCATTGGGCCTAAATTAATCATCAATCTTTTTGAAATTACTAGAAGTGCTATTAATGCTATAAACTCTATTATTTGGATATATGTTTCCGGATGTTCATCTCTATTATAATCCAAACATACAGAGTTTAGATCAACACTTTATGATGATCATACTCATGGTATATCAAAGATTATAAGGAGATTAAACACGAATCCACTATCCATCAAGATTTTGATTCTACTGTAAGCAAATGTATAAGTGTAAGATCAAAATTTAAGTAATGGTTAAACTTAAATTTGATTCTCTCATGATTCCAGTTTATGTTATAGTGTCATTACTCGAAGTCAACCATTTCGATGATTTGAGACTAGTCAATCTCTTGAAGTGAATCGCATTCGTTTCATTAGAAGTAATTTAGACACTATCGCTTCAACACAATAAAGTGACTAGCTTTATTTTATGGTTGTGAACAATTTTTAGATTCAATTAAAATACATGTCTCCTATGTATGATTCTTCATATAAATGTATTTTAATATATCAATAGAATCATGGTACCATAATAACTAGATAATGAATGCTTAATTAAAACAAACTCTTTGTCTTATTATCAAAATGTACTTTCATTACAAATAAATTAAATGAAATTAAATATGAGAATATACTTGCTTTCCACAGCATCATATTATCAAAATTTCTAACAAATAGGACCAAACACAATGTCTTAAAATAATGTTATGAGAGAATTTATGAAAACAGTGTTATATGCTAGTGCAATTAAGAGCTTGATGTATGCTCAAGTATACACGAAGCTTGACATTGTTTTTGCATGGGATCTTTTGGAGAGATATTTGTCTAATCCTGATAAAGATTGTTAAGAAGTTGCAAAAAAAGGTGATGAGATATTTGAAGGGAACTAAAGATTTTATGCTAGTTTATTAAAAGATTAAAGACCTTAAATTGGTGGATTATATGAATTCCGACTTTATCAATTATTTTAATGATAGGAAGCCCACAACAAGATATATTATTATGTTGAAAGGTGATGCAATATTTTAGAAAAGTATAAAGGAAATACTTGTGACCTCATCCACTATGCAATCAAAAATTTTAGCATGCTGTAGAGCAACTACATTAACTGTCTGGTTAAGAAATCTTATTAAAAAATTGTTGGTAGTTAGCTCTTTTACTAGACCCATATAGTTGTACTATGACAGCACTATAGCAGTTTTGTTCAACAACAACAATAAAAGTATCACAAGGATTAAGCATATAGAGATAAAATATTTAACAGTTAAAGAATTGTGAAAAAAAATGTGATATTTTAGTAAAACATATTAGAATGATGACATCATAGTTGATCCTTAGACTAAGAGATTGCCCTATCACTTTCAAGAAACATGTTTTATAACATAAGTGTTGTGGAGTCTTTTAATTAACTTGGTTAGTGAGAGAATTTGATGTTGTTCTACTTTATGTTTTATGCTTAATTTGTTTAGTACATATCTTTAATGATGTATTTGGATTTATTATAAATAATGATATTCACTAATAACATGTTTGCGTATATATACATTTTGCATAAGTGAAGACCAATGTCAATTTTAACCATAGATTGAGGCATAAATTGATAGCCTTAAAGGTATGTCTTTTGATATAAAAACTATATCTAGAGATAAATAAGGCAGACATGCAAGTTTATAAGTGTTTCTATTGCAAGCTTGGGTTGCATAAAGTAGAGAATAAAGTGATTGACAAATGAATAGAGCACATGAAATAAATTCTTGTTGTTGTTCATTGCTATACTACCACTTTGACTTCATGTGTATAAGATTGACTGAGATATGTGATTATAGTTAGTACTATTTCTTAATAGATGTAGTTGCTGTTACTTTTCTATATCATAAATTTTATTAGACAAATAGATCTTTTGGAGTAGTCTCAAGACTAGTTTGATTTTAAATTAGGCTCATAAATTTTAAGTTGTTTTAGCTTGTGAGTCTTGTGTAAGAAATGGTATTTTCAATATTTGAATTCAATAATGTAGTTCAAGTGGGGGTCTATTAGATTTTTCTCAATAATTAAAATGTGGAATTACATTATTTAAATTATTTTAGAATTTTATGAAAATCAAGTTAAGTTAATTTGAACTTGATAAAGAGACAATATTGTAGTCCATATTATGATATAATAAAACGGGCTAGACTAAAATGTTTTGTGTGGGTTTATATAGTGTAAGCTTATATAAAAAACCCTATAATGGTAAAACTAGAGATTCACTATATAAAAATATGAGTGAATCTCTTTTTGATTTTGTTTACAGAAAAAGTTAAGGATTTTACTTAAAGTTGTAGATTAAAAAAAAAAAGACTTTACTGCATTAAATCCTAACGAATTCCAACAATTAATTTGATTGATATTATTTTCGATATCAAATGTTAAATCAAGAATCAAATATCATATAACTTTGGAAGGATTTGCCAATATTGAGTTCTAGCTAGTACAATATATGTATACTAATCAAAATTAGTATAATGGGAAGAAAAAAAATCATAATACTCAAATAAGTCCCTAAACTATTTAAGAAAACTCAAATAAGTTTTTTTTATTACATTCAATCAAGTCTTTGTACTTTTATTTTAGGTTAAATAAGTCGTTATAACTAATGATTGATTAATTGTAATTAGTTAAAATATCATTTATTATTTTATATCCACATAGCATTGATGTGGAAGGTGAAACATATCATATGATTATGTTATCATGTAAAATTATCATGTTACATCATAATCAATTATGACATGCTAGCATAGTATATTATAATCAATTGTGATATGTTGGCATAACAAGTTAGTGTTAGGTTATATAAAATGATAAATGATTTTTTAACTAAGTCAATCATTAGTTATAAAAGCTTATTTGATCTCAAATAAAAATATAAAGGATTATTTGGTGTAAAATAAAAACTATAAAAACTTGATTGAATATAATAAAATTATAAAGATTTATTTAATTTTTTTAAAATATTATACCTATAAATTTTAACATTTCTTTGAACCATGATCACTAATTTATCAAGCCTTTCTTGTTTCTTTATTTTATTTTTTTGAAGAGTAATTTATTTAACCTTTCAACCGACGTACCATTGTAAATCTCAAGTTGGTCTATCCAATACTTTCTAGGGCATAAAATTCTGAGCAGAGCATAAATTATCTGTACGCTTAAAAGGTGACTATTGCACAAAAAACTATTGGTACTGTACACTTTATTATTATTTTTAAAGCCTATCTCTCTCAAATTTCTCTGTATATTTTTAAAAACTGTGAGCTAGGATCACTTGAATGGCGGGTTTAAACTTTGAGCCCTTATTGTGGGCAGAATCTTTTGCTCCGTTCGAAATCCTTTCTTTCTCTCATCCTTCCTCCACTCTCTCTTTGCTGTTCAGGCCACCGATCCTTCCGCTTGCCTCCCTTTGCGCCGTTTTCTCTTCTCTTCCCATCCCCTTTCGCTCAAGAAAAATTATTTTAAAAATTTTGAAAATTTTCATCCCAGAGAAAACGACAAGAAGAAAAACCAGTTGTCCGGTTCTCAGGCGCCCAAAACTACAGTACACTCAAGTGGCTGAGTTTCAATAACTGGTAGATGATAGATGATGGATTTCACTGCAGCACGCCAACGAAGATTGTGTGCCCAATATCTTCGTTGGAATGAATGACTGTATCTCAACACTCAAACCCTAGCAATCACTTCCAAAGTTGCATTAAACTTGTATGACTTAAGTCTCAAAAATTGTTTTGGTTTGTACTATATCTCAAAGTTAGGAGAAAAAGACATGCACCATATGCTTGTTTTGAGTTAAAAAAACTTGAAAACAGATGAACTGAATATTCATTATTACCGTTTAAATTTAAAATTTCTAAATTGGCATCCTCATTATCAGTCGGCCCTCCATGAAACTGCACAAGAACCAATCCAAGATATTATTACCTGATTTTACAGTACTAATTCGTTGTTTGGGTAATTAATTGAGTTTAAGAGAAAGAGAGGACGAAGAAAGTGTGTTTGAAAAAAAAAAAAATGCCTCACCTCTTAATGTAATAGTAACAAAAGTCTGCCAAGATGAAGGTTTGAACAATTTCTGCAAAGACAGCCACGGGGAACCAAAAGTGCCCAGCTCCGACCAAGAAAAGATATCTGCCCCCAGTCTCATAAACCTTTCACGGAAATAGGAACAATAATGTTTTAATATTTTTGAATCTTCTAATTATTTCAACTGCTTATAACAGGGTATATATTTTTCATGATTTTTTCAATGCTTTAAGCGATTAATTTGGTAATTAGGAGTACTTTTATTCATGTCATGAGGAGTTTCAATGAGCTTCAGTATGTGTCAAGCGTGATTTTCTAACCTTGATGATCCAATGAGCGCACGCCAGGAATCTTGCCACGCCCAGTGCAAATACATAGTGGGCTGTGAATGGTTCAATCATCTTAAACAAGGTGCTCATTAGCTAATATACTCACAAACAAAAAGTAATAAAGTAAATATATGAATGAATCGGAAATGGAGCTGAAACCTTTGCTTTCTGCATCATACGAAGCTGTGGCAGCACTGAAACTGCCTCCAAATAAACACAAAAGGCCCAGAGAACTTGACTTATGTATATATGTGTGTTATATGGATGGATTAACACAGCAAGGATGGCAGACGGCACCACCTGTGTAAACATAGATCACAGTCATACTCTATACTGGATTTTTTTCCTTGAGTAATTTCTTTAAGTACTCCATGGCTCTTTCTTTTTTGTCATCTTTAGCAGATAGAATATAACTTTCTACGAAAACCAGACACTTGCTTTTCTATTAATTCAAGCCCATTAACCTTCATTTACTGTACAAGTTGGACTTCAAGAGTATGTCAAACAAAGACTAATAATGCACCAGTCTCTCAATTTCCACATTTTGCAAAGTCTGGAGGATCTTTAAAACAATTTGTTAATTTCAAATGATCAATTATATATACTTTCCTGATTTTATTACTCAAAATTGCTAACTAAATCCAGGCAAAATGAAAGGAAGTGCGAGTTCTTTTATTTTATTTTTGGTTCAATACTCATTAATTTCCTGATTTTAAATGAATTCTATAGTTTAATCCTGATTTTAAATAGCATATACATCCATTCTAAGTTTATAGAGAAGAATCTAACATGGTTTAATCAATATATATAAAAACTGAAGAATGCATTTACCATATAGTAGATTGGAAAGTTATCTAGCTCCTTGATATAAGTTGACTTCAACTTGTATCGAATCATGAATATAACCCATGCAGTAAAAATGAGGGTGGCAAAATCTAGCAATGTATGAATGTCACCTTCCAACATGAAACTGCAGACAAGTCTTACAGCTAAGAATATTGCTGTGAGTTCTTGAGACTTCAGTGAAAGGCCTGAAGCAGGAAGAGAAACTTGATTATTGCCATGCATGTAGTACAAAAGGGCATCACCAACACTTAAGAAAAAAAAAAAACCTGAATCATCATGGAGGCGAGTTATACGTAAAAAATGTTTTGATTTCTTATGCAATTACGTTCGAAGTTGATGTTACTTGCTAACAATTTGACTATTTTAACAAAAAATGTTTCATTAAAAATGTTTTTTGTTTAATGAAACAATGCGAATCCTTCTCCAGTTTAATTTTGTTCAGATCGTTTTCCTTCTCACCAATTTGAACCTTTCACTGATTTTTCTCAATTACTCCCAATTCCCTTCTCACCAAATGAAAGAGAGAAATTAGAAGGAAAACAAATGTCATAATGTTTGAATATTGCAAATTTCTTACTCCCAATAGTCCACTATCCTGCATCGACACATATAACTCCAACAAGCCAGCCATTTCTAATTAGTAAACATCATTCGGATATTAGACTCATTTGGATATTAAATCATCGCCATATTTCTGAATAAAACACATCGAAATCAACCTTAAGAGAATATCAGTTACACGAAATATACAAAAAAAAAAAAAAAGAGAAGGGAGAAACGGAGGATGATATATAGATACCAGAACATGTTTTCTTGGTAGTAAGCTTATAAACCAAGACAGAAATCCCAGCGACATGGATGAGTTCAGAGGCAATAAAAAAGTGATTGTGATCTTTCACCAGAAGCGTCAATGCCACCAAAGAAAATAGCAAAGGCATTGCTGCGAGGAAGATCTTCACCTTCATCGACTGCCCTTTAATCCATACGAGCAGCTGGGTCACTGGTGAACTTCTCTTCCTCCCCATCTCTTTATGTTTTCTTCCGTTTTCCTCTCTAAAGATTAAAAGAAATTATATTTGAGACAGAGGGAGAGAAAGGGTAAAAGGAGGCGTTTTGGTGGGTTGCTGGGAATGGTTCAGGACTGAGAAAGAGCGAGCCGTTTTTGGAAGGACAAGTGGAGGGGAATCATGTGGCATTAAATATGGTACTATGTTGGAAGCCAGTGAAAAGATGACACGTGAGGGAAGATTTTAGGACACGAAGATTGAATCTCGGAATGGTGCTCGCCTGTTTTGGTACCGCTGATTTGGACATTAAATTTTGTGGATTTCAGTTAGATTGTATGGTCTTTTTGTTTGGTTGGTTTTATGTGACCAAATCAATGCATTTTTGGAGATATTTTTATAGTCAATCTATTTATAAATTGCTTAGGAAATACGAGCAAAATAATTAGTCGTTTTTCCATTCAAATGAAAAAAGTTTTATTATTTTAAGTATTTGAATTTTAGTCAAAATTTCCTTGAAAGTGAGATGTTGCTATACACAAAATGTTGGTATTTTTTTCTATCATATAAATTTGAACTTTCCATACGTTGTAATATCACCTCAATCACAAATTAAGATAGGAATTTGTTGTAGAGATAACAAACTGAAATAAGAAAAATTGTGTTTTTGGTATGGATGTAACTTAAGCTAACATAAAAAAAAAAAAGTTAGATATGTCAAAATTATTATATACTATAAACTTAATAATTTTTTTTGCATTGATTTTCTTAGTTTTATTAGTTTAGCCATGGGGTTATAAAATTGCTTGAGAAATTGTTGGCTTTTTCAAATAAAAATGTATTCAACATTGAGACCAATAAAAACAATAAATCACACACAAGTGACAATATTTAATGTGATTTGACACTTATTGCCTACATCTGCAGACGAGAGAAGAATTTACTATAACAGTATAAATTACAAAAAGTACAAAACACTAAAAAACAAGCACTAAAATTCAAGCCCCGAAACAAATTTAGTTTCCATTCACTAGTATGCTCTTATTAAAAGAAAAAACAATTGTTACTTAAATGCAGAGATTTGATTTGACTAAGCTCATAAAAATAGTTCTTAAATGAAATCAATGAGTTGACATTTCATTATGAACAAATTTGTTAATAATATACAAATTTATTATAAAGAAAAAATTTATATCCATCATATTATTTTACAAAAGCAGTGAAACCTAAAGCTAAGAACTCTTGTCATCCCCCGGAGGAATGTCTTCAACATGCTTTAATGAAGAACCAGAGGCGTTTCCCTTTACTTAGTGAACGACCTCCGTAATGGTTGACTATAAATTTTGTATCACGCTCTTGACAGAATTTACTTCTAGCTTCAACGTCTCAAAAGTCTGGTTAGAAATCGGTGGCACGATTGCAACATTGGAGGAAGGGTGTAAGACCACATACAAACTCAGATGTTGGAGCACTTATGCAGCTTCATCAAGCAATGATGCAGTCGGCACCTTCGTGCCAAACCTGTAAACATAGGTGAAGTTGGTCCGCACCCTTCCAATAACTTCAGTTAAGACGCAGACTCATAGCCATAATTCTGTGAAACTGCAGAAGCATAGGTTCGCTACAAAAAAAATATTAATCAATAAACAAGTTAATTTCTAAAATAAGAGATAAGAAATAATAATGGCAATTCAAAACATATAAATTTGTAAAATAAACAGAACTGTAGATTTTACTTGCATTGGCAGACTAGGACTTTCCATCTACAAAATCCCTGTTACTCTTCGATAGGTTGTGGGTGCGGTTGAAAAGCTCAGAGAATGTCAGTGGTCGGCCCATCGCCTTTGACTGCAATAATTGCCCTTGTCATAAAAACAAATAGAAAAAAAAATATATTAAATGTCATTATGAAGAAAAGATAGCACTTATCATATAAATTTAATAGTAAATTGCGTTATACATATCAACATGTAATCTATTTGTTACATAATAATATTATACTATATTATAAATTACATATAATATATATTGTTAATAATATAAGTAAATAACATTTATTTTCTAACCAATATTATTAAAATGCTGTATTATTAAATTATATCTATTGTATATCAACTTATGTTATGTTAAAATTAACCTATTAGTTTATATATAATATAACAAACCTTTCAAAAAAAAATAACTATATACATTAATAATAATATTAATAATAATTTAAGTATATAAATAATAATACCAATGAACATATATTATTAACAATATATGATATTACACTTATTATTAACTTATGAAGAGAATTATTAATATAAAATCATATGAATATTATATAATGACATATAAAATAATATTATATTATTATTTTATTTATATATTTAATTGATAATTTTTAATAATAATAACTTAAGTAACAATAATGTTAGTGGAAGGGGGTGAATTGACTTCTTTGAAAATTCTTTGCAATTTTAGTGAAAACTGATTTTTTTCAGAAACAAATTGTAACAATAAAAATCAAAACAATGTTAAAATAAGAACATAATATTTTTATAGAGATTCGGTCTCCTTGCCTACGTCTTCTCCTTGAGTTCAATAAAGAATTTTAAATCCACTATGAAAATACTTTTTAAGGCTCAAGAATAACCTTTGCATTAGTTTTTTATTTTTTTATTTTTTGTTTTTAGGATGAGACTATAGTTTCTCTACCTTTTACTTAGGTTAAGCTATAGCTTCTCAACAATACCTTCTCAATCGATTAAGGTATAACCACACAAAAGTTTACAATAAATGAAGAGCTATAAAAGCCTTTTATAGGCTAATGAGCTACAAGGTTAAGCTTGAAAAATATCGGTACAAAGATATAAAAAAAATCAGCTCAATGAATGCTTGAAAAAAGACTTAAATGCTCTATGAGAAATGAATAAATGTGCTTGAAGCTTTTTCTCAAGTGTGGAGATGCTTTTCAGAGTCTTATTGGCTTTCAAATTAGGTGGGAAGCTTCCTTGTAAGCCTTTCAATCAATTAGAGCCGTTCGATACCGATTAGAGCAGAAGCTAGTCGTTGGAGCATTAAATGCTAGTTTACTACGACTCTAGGATCAACCTTGGTAGTTAGAGGTGTCGATCCTTGCTTCAAATTTGTCTTTAATTTTAATTGTAGGATTGAGCTTTTAAACATGGTGTCGATCCTAGGTTCACATGTTTATATTATTTATTCTTCTCTTCTTCAAGGATTGACCTTGGGATTATGAGGGTCGATCCTTTAAACATCTAATAGCTTAACTTTTCTTCTACTTCTTCCTAGGATCGAACTTTTTATGTTAAGGTGTTGATCCTCTGAGCTTCCAATAGCTTCTTTACATTCTGTTTCATCTTGGAATCGACCTACAAGCCTTGAGGGGTTGATTCTAAGTCTTTCCAGTAGCAACTTCATTCTTTGTCTCATCCTAAGATCAACCTTCATGCTGTGGGGTGTCTATCCTTTGAATTTCTAATAGCTTCATTCTTCATTCTATCTGATTGGGATTGACTTGTTCTTCCTAGGGTGTTAATCCTACAATATCTAGAAGCCACATATTGTTCTCTGTTTTTCTCTAGGATTGACCTTTCACGGGGAAGGTGTTGATCCTCACAATTGAAAATTTGATATTTTAAATGCTTTTCATTTCTTTTAAGTACCAAAGACTTATCAAACATTTTTCAAAGCTTTAGGGAGTTATTTAAGTGATTTAAATCACTTTAAAAGCTTGTTTGCTAATTTTAACCAATTTAATTTTGTCAATTCAAAACATAATTCAATTTTAAAGCTAACAAATATTTTCTTTTAAATTTTAAGTGTAATATTAATTATGCTTAAAAATAATTAAAAATACAACAACCACTGTAAAAATACAACAACAATAATTTTTATAACCACATTGTAAAAATGTAACAACACCAATTTTTAAAACACCTATTGTAAAAATACATTAACATTAACATTAACAACAACAACCACATTGTAAAAATACAAAAACACCACCAATAACAACAACAATCACGTTGTTAAAACAACAACAGCAATGACAACAACCACAATATCTAAAATTACAACGACATTAACCAAATCAACCACATTGTCACATTGTAAAATTAACAAATTAAATTTATACAATATCAAATTAACAAATAATCATCAAAATTAATACAACATATTTGACAAATATAGACAATAAAAAATTAACAAATATATTAACTAAAATAAAAAATTAACCAAATGTATTTATTGGGGTAAGTGAATTGGTAAAAGGGATGAGAACAGAAAAATGCTGGTGGGGATGTGACGGTGATGATGAGGAGCAACATTAGTAGTGAGGAAAAAGATGACAAGGCTTCTTATGGTTGGGTTCGATGGCGGAAGGGTAGGGGACGTCTATCATGACCTTTTCTCTAGTGGGCCAAGACTCGCACATGGACCTATGTGGGTATGACCCACTAGGCCCACGCAAGCTTTATTTATTAATTATATAATATCACATCCTATTTTTTGTAGGATCGTGACTAAGGCATGGACCTACATGGGCATGGCTTACTAAGCTTAAGCAAGTCATAATCGACAAGTGTGGACTTATCATCCACCACATTCATTCATCATTATACACCATAATATATATCCACAACTATATAAGCACCTTCCTACAGTTACGAAACTTCTCAACATAAAAGTGAGGTATTGCTTTCATTCAATATCATCATTCATATAATATGTGAATTATGTAGTTTGACATGTATCTCGTGCCAATATCATATATAGTCCTTTCACCATAGGTATCGACATTTTTATACACTCATTCCAAGGTTCATTGGTTAGTGCATTATCCCCCTACCTAAAGAGCAGGGTTCAAATCCCCCTTCCCCAATTATATATAAAAAAAAGTATCAAGTTGACTCAACACATTGTGGAGCGTATTGACACTAGTGGCTGGAAAGAGGGCACTTTTACACCTACCAAATGCAAGCAAAGCTACTCCTCCACAAAGCGCCTAACCAAGTGAGCTATTGATTTGTAAAACAAAAATAGGGAAAATTAGTGGGTGATTCATAAAGACTTCATGAGTGAATGTGGGAAAAAGACAAGCCAAAGGG